TATATAAATTTTAGAATATTTGTTAATTTAAAAAATCTGAGATTTAAATTGGGATTTTGTTGAATCTATAGACCAGTTTGGGAAGGATGGATACGTTAATAATATGCTTTTAATTCTTAATATGGATCTCTCCATTTATTTGGCTTCTTTAATTTTGCAATGTTTCAGTACAGAGGTCTTTCCATATTTCATTAGCTTTATTTCTACATTTATAATACTTTTGATACTATTGAAAATGGTATTAAATTCTTTTCCCAATTAAAACCATTAATCTTGTGTCTTATGATCTTGCTAAATTCACTTTGTTCTATTGTTTTTGTAGATTCCACTTTCTATATAGATTATTATGTTTTCAATAAATAATGACAGTTTTATTTTTTCATTTACTTGTTTTCTTTCTTATTTGTGCACATGGCAGTAGCTAGAACTCCTTGTACATTTTTTAATAGAAGTGGTGTGAGAATGTATCCTTAGTTGCTTACTGATTTGAGAAGGAGAGAATTTAGTATTTCACAACTCAATGTTATGTTATATGTAGATGTTTTTATAGGCAGCATTTACATTCATATGTTAAGTTCTACTCTTAGTTTGCTGAACATTTTATTATGTGAGTTAAATTTTATTAAGAACTTTTAATGCATAAATTGAGATATTCATGTGATTTTTTTTTTCCTAGTCTCTCACTCTAGTATGTTATATAAGTTGAATTTTGAGTGTTAAACCAATCTTGCATTTCTCTAATAAATCTCACATGGTCATGATATTTTAAAATATATTGCTAGATTTGATTAGCTAATATTTTATTACAGATTTTTATATCCTTGTTCATAAAGGATAATGAATTATAATTTTCTTACTTTGTAATATCTTTGTCTAGTTCTTTTTTGGGGGGGCTATGTTGGCCTCATAATAAAAATTAGGAAGAATTCACTTCTCCCTTATTTGAATTTAATTCTACTAAAGTCAATAGTTTCATTTTTTTTCCTGACTGTTTTGCAGAAATTATTCAAAGAAATTACTGATGAAGTTATCTGGACCAGGAGTTTTCTTTGTGGAAATGTTTTTGATTAATAATTTAACTTCTTTAGTAAATAATTGGACCAATTTTAATAAATAGCATTTTTCAAAGACTTTGTTCATTTCTCCTGTCCACTTATCCTTTTAATGTTTGTAGGATCTGTAGTGGTGCTTACTATTTCAATACTTACATTGGCAAATATTTATATTTTCTCTGTTGTTTCTTGATTATAATTACTAAGACATATCAGTGTACCTATTTGTCCAAAGAATTATTTCAAAGGTTTTTACTTTTTGGGTTTAATTAATGTGGAATTAATTTTTAATGTGTTTTTATTTTTTAATCTGTGCTTTTAAAGTTAAAATTTCTAAGTGCTGCTTTATCTGCATCACAAAATATTTGATTTAAAACATTATTGTTCAGTTTGAAATGTTTAAAAACTCCTCCTTTGACTTTTTAAAACTTGTGGATTATTTAGAAGTATGTTGCTTAATCCAGGGGAAGAATAAATAGCAGCTGAGCTGAGACTGAGGCAGCACAGCAGTGAATCCACAGGCAGACAAGGGACAGACTATCTCAAGTGGCACATTGACCTGTCTATTAAGAAAAGCCTCATACAGGGGAAATAACCCAAACTTTAACAGAAAGGACATCCACTCAGAGTTCCCATCTGAAATTACCAACTTCAAAGATCAATGGTAGATAAATCCACGAAGATGGGAAGAAACCAGCGCCGACAGGATGAATCATCAAAATCCAGATGCCTTTCCTCCCCCCGAGGGATCATAACTCCTCACCAGCAAGGGAACAAAACAGGACAAAGAATGAATTTGAGGAACTGACAGAAGCAGGCTTCAGAAGGTGGGTAATAACAAACTTCTCTGAGCTAAAAGATTGTGTTCTAATCCAATGCAAAGAAACTAAGAACCTTGAAAAAAGTTAGATGAAATGCTAACTAGAATAACCAGCCTAGAGAAGAACATAAACAACTTGATGGAGCTGAAACACCCAGCACAAGAACTTTGCAAGGCATACACAAGTTTCAGTAGCTGAATTGATCAAGCAGAAGAAAGGATATCAGAGATTGAAGATCAACTCAATGAAATAAAATGATCAATAAAATAGACCACCAGCCAGACTAATAAAAAAGAAAGGAGAGAAGAATAGAATAGATGCAATAAAAAATGATGAAGGCGAGATCACCACTGATTCCGCAGAAAGACAAACTACCATCAGAGATTACTACAAACAGCTCTATATGCATAAACGAGTAAATCTGGGAGAAATGGATAAATTCCTGGACAGTTGCATACTCCTATGACTAAACCAGGAAGAGATTGAAACCCTGAATATACCAATAATAAAGTCTGAAGTCAAGGTAGCAATTAATAGCCTACCACCCAAAAAAAGTCCAGGTCCAGACAGGTTCACAGCTGAATTTTACCAGACATACAAAGAGAAGCTGGTACCATTCCTTTTGAAACTATTCCAAACAATACAAAAGGAGGGAATCCTCTCTAACTCATTTTATGAGATCAACATCATCCTGATACCAAAACCTACAGAGACACAGCTAAAAAAGAAAACTTCAGGACAATATCCATGATGAACATCAATGCAAAAATCTTCAATAAAATACTGGCAAACCAAATGCAACAGCACATCAAACACTTATCCATCATGATCAAGTAGGTTTCATCCTGGGGATACAAGGCTGGTTCAACATACACAAGTCTATTATCTGTCACATTAACAGAACCAAAGACAAAAACCACGTGATTATCTCAATAGATGCAGAGGAGGCCTTCGACAAAATTTAACAACTCTTCATACTGAAAACTCTCAATAAACTAGGTATTGATGGAACATATCTCAAAATAATAAAAGTTATTTATGACAAACCCACAGCAAATATCATACTGAATGGGCAAAAACTGGAAGCATTCCCTTAAAAATCTGGCAATAGACAAGGATGCCCTCCTTACTACTCCTATTCAATATAGTATTGGAAGTTCTAGACAGAGAAATTAGGCCAGAAAAAGAAATAAAGCATATTCAGTTAGGAAAAGAGGAAGTCAAATTATCTCTATTTGCAGATGACATTATTGTATATTTAGAAGACCTCATCATCTCAGCCCAAAACCTACTTAAGCTGATAAGCAACTTCAGCAAAGTCTCAGGATACAAAATCAATGTGTAGAAATCACAAGCATTCCTATACGCTAACAACAGACAAACAGAGAGGCAAATCATGAGTGAATTACCATTCACAATTGCTACAAAGAGAATAAGATACCTAGGAATACAACTAACAAAGGATGTAAAGGACTTCTTCAAGGAGAACTACAAACCACTGCTCAACGAAATAAGAGAGGACACAAACAGATGGAGAAACATTCCTTGTTCATGGTTAGGAAGAATCAACATTGTGAAAATGGCCATACTGCTCAAAGAAATTTACAGATTCAATGCTATCCCCATCGAGCTACCACTGACCTTCTTCACAGAACTGGTAAAAACCACTTTAAACTTCATATGGAACCAAAAGAGAGCCCACATAGCCAAGTCAATTCTAAGCAAAAAGAACAAAGCTGGAGGCATCGTGCTACCTGACTTCAAACTATACTACAAGGGTACAGTAATCAAAACCACATGGTACTGGTACCAAACAGAGATATAGACCAACGGAACAGAACAGAGGCCTTAGAAGCAACACCACACATCTACAACCATCTGATCTTTGACAAACTGAACAAAAGCAACGGGGAAAGGATTCCCTGTTTAATAAATGGTGTTGGGAAAACTGGCTGGCCATGTGTAGGAAGCTGATACTGGACCCCTTCTTTACACCTTATACAAAAATTAACTCCAGATGGATTAAAGATTTAAACATAAGAGCTAACACCATAAAAACCCTAGAAGTAAACCTAGACAACACCATTCAGGACATAGGCATAGGCAAGGATTTCATGACTGAAATGCCAAAGCAATGGCAACAAAAGTCAAATAGACAAATGGGATCTAATTAGACTTAAGAGTTTCTGGGTACCTGGATAGGAAGAGGGACATACTTTCTCTAGACTGTTCTATACTGTTTACAACTTTCTATGTACTACTTGTCTACTCTGTATAGTTAGTTAAGGCTCACCAGAAGGAATTGCTGAATGAAGGAATGCTTTCTGTGTGGCAGAGACTCCTCAAATTTCCAGTCTGTTACACCAGCTTTGAGTGATTTTCGACGTGGTATGGCAAATTCCTTCTCATCAGTATTTCCTTTCTGCCAGAGATTAAAGCAGTTGTGAATCACTTCTATATGATAAACTTTAATAACTTCTGGAATTTAGTTCTTTTATGTTTCTTTAAATTATTTCATTTCTGCTGGGCTTAAAAAGCATATGAATTTGTAGTTTTTTCTGGTATGTACTCATTGTTGTAAGTAACAATCTCTTGTAACTGTCCACATTCTAAACAGAAATGAAGTCCTTGGACTGATTTTAGATAGTGTATTAAAATTATGTAACTGGGTGTTTATGAATTAAATAAAACAAGTCTTAATGTTTATGATTACATCTTATTTTAAAAATCAAATCCTATCAGCTAAATACTCTTGAGTGTTCCTTAAATATTTAAAAGAAAAATGTTTGGTAACATTCAGATATTACAAAGAATGTGATAAGGTTTACAGACTATGCTCAAAGGGTAAATTCTAGTAAATATTTGCAAAAAGCTCAAATTTTAGAAAATGTGTATACTTTTCTGAAGACAATTGTGAATTAAGATTTACCATGGTCTTTAGCCCTTATTTATTGTCCTCTTGCGGTAATATATTTAAAATTTTGCTCTTTTAAACACATTTAAGTTAATTCTTATAGTCACAAAATTTGTTGTACTTCAATTGGGTCTTGTAATTTCAAAATGTAAATGTATAATGGCCGGGTGTTGACTTTAATTAATATATTTAACTTGCTTTTTTTCCCCCTAGGAATCCTAAAACCAAAATATTAGAACGAAAACAGAAACATGGCTCACTATATTACATTTGTCTGCACGGTTATGGTCCTGCTTCTTCAGAATTCTGTGTTAGCTGAAGATGGGGAAATAAGATCAAGTAAGAACTATGAGCATTGTCCTTTTATATTATACACAAATTAATCTGAAAATTAAACTAGGGGAGTTCAAGTAACGGTTTTAATGATTTCGTTCTTACTATCTTTGATTCTGTAACTCCCTAAAATAAATGAATTGCTATTACTCATTAACTGAGAAGAAAAGCTTCCCTCAGAGATAATTTTGAGATGACTCTATGGCAATAGTTTATTCAATTAACACATCGAGCTTTGGAACAAACAGCCTGGTATTGAGTCCGTGTTCAGCCACTTTTGAGCTGCATGATAGAAAGGTAAAGAAAGCCTTGTAGATTGGTTATCAGGATGGAATGAGATAATGCATGTGAATGGCTTAGCACAGTACATCTCAGTGAATGTTATTATTGCTTTTGGGAAAGTCTGTGTAAAGAGATAAAGAGCTATATTAACTATAGTTCTTTTACCCAGCCTATCATTTAGAGATAACAAATTTTTTAAAAAAGTTTGCTTATATTCACATTTTAAAACGTATAAATACCCTGCTGTAAATTAACTATGGTGTCTATAGAAGTTAAATGAGATAGTTTGACAATTTGATTCAACTTGGCTTAAAATGTATTAATACAATAATATTTAAAGCTTGCGTAACACTTTTATAGTTTAATTCATGCAAGCACTCTATAATGTGGATACCCTTTCCTTTGTTTTTTTCTTGGGTGGGAAAAGGGATTTTAAAAAGTTAAGGGGCTTGCTTACCTAGTATCATACAGCTTGTGAGGGCAGTAACTAGTATTTGAACTATGTTTTTGCTCTTCATTCCCGTTCCTTTTCTATTATGTCATTCATCTCTCTAAGGAAGAGGTTTCTTAGGACGGATATTATGTCTAGGGCTTATAAATGGCATCATTTGCTTGTGTGCCCATGCTCTTGACTAACTTTAAAGTTATGAAATATGTGCTCTGTGGCTCTGTGACAGGGAGAAGGGTAGGAAGGGCCAAGAATAACCTAAGGGTGAAAACCGCTGGATCAGGTGGCTCACAAACACTACCAGCTTCAGACAACAATGAGTCTCAGTATTTAGGAAGGGCCAACATTGAAAAGCTCTGCAAACACAACTTTTCTATCCTTTGTCTCCCCGAAATGGTTATAAAAGCATAACCGTTTAATCCTAGTCCATCTGGCTTCCAAAAATAACAGAAAAATTGCATTCCCTTGGGTTAGCAAATTTGCCTCTGGGCAGAACTCCATTTCTGCTATCCCTGCCTTGACCTCTGGCAGTGGCTGCCTTGGCAGAGGTTGTTGGAATTGTGTCCCTTACACCCTTCTGAGCATACTACCACCTGCAGTAGAGCGTCTTAGGAATAATGTCATAATCACAGATATATTTTTGAGACAAATCCATATTTTGGCAATTCTATTTATTTTTGGAACCTCTTGACTATTATACATGTTTACCTCTTGTGTTAGTGTTTATTTTTGCTAGACTGTGATGAGTGAGTTAAGATGACCATAAGATTGGGATCACTTCTTGTGAGCCTTGTCAACATCCCAAATATGTAAACAGCCATAGATAAAGGAAGGGAAAAGGAAAAACAATGGACTTATTCTTAAGGAGATGCAAAATACTAAGAATAATAATTGTCACTAAATAATTTTTCTTTAGTATTATCCTTTGCAATTATGATATCATACTTGCAAATGCATGCAGAAAATAAATAACTTTATTATAACTTTAAATTGGTTCTCCGATCACTACATAGGGGGAAATAGGGGAGGGACAGCCGGGGTTGAGGAGTCAGGGAGAGATAGCATGGGGAGAAATGCCAGATATAGGTAATGGGGAGGAGGTAGGCAGCAAATCACACTGCCATGTGTATACCTATGCAACAATCTTGCATGTTCTTCACATGTACCCCAAAAGCTAAAATGCAAAAAAGAAAAAAATATGAATAAAAGCATAAGACTTATAGTTTACTGTCATCTACCTTCATTCTGAACATCTTAGGGGATATGTGACTTCCCCTGTGATAAATGCAAACATGCTGAATGTAAAACAAAGCATGAATATAAAATTATCTCATTATCATATGGGCTATAAAGAATAGGTATTGTTGCTGCTTTGAGGACAGAAGTTAGAGAGTGAGAAGGCAAATATAGCTGTTCTAATGGTATTCTGTTAGCCATTCCAAATTATTGGAATTACCTCAACAAACCAGTTTATCTTTTAGTCTGTGTTTGTCTCCCAGCTCGGGGCCTTTGTAGTTGCTCTTCCCTTCTATTAGAATATCGTCCTCTTCACCTAACTAATGCTCTTGTTTCAGATCCCTGATTGCCTGCCAGCTTTCCCATAAAACCTTTCCTGACCTTCCACAGTTATGCTGCCACCCACTCCTAAATGTTCTCATAGTATTTTGCACTTTTCCTAACCAGTCTCTTTTTTGTCTTACCATACTTTGAGCTATTTGAGATATCTTGTATATATTTGAACCCAATACATAGTGTGATGTCAGGCACAGAATAGGTATTCAGTATAAATAAACTGAATGAATGAAATAGGATTAGAGACATGATATGTGTACTGTAAAAAAGAGTTAAGACTTTTTTTTTCTTTCTACAACTGCTTATAACTTGTTGAAATTAACTTGCACCAAAGATAGTCTTTTTTTCCCCAAAAGGTCCCTAGGATGTGCTGACCACAAAGGTGTTTCCTGGTATCTTAAAATGAGAATCTCTATTTCTACTAGGCAAGGAATAGCTTTATACCTTTGACCATAGATTTTTAGTACAAGCTGATGTTCTGACCACATCATTCACTGAATATGAGACATCAGACCCTTAGAAACCCATCTTGGATATAATGCAAAAGTTGATTCATTTGGCGATCTTGGTTCACGTAACATTTATCAACTATTAATATATTGAAGATGAAATTTTATTGGCTAGCTAAGTCCTGAAGTTGGTGACAAATTCATTTTTAATGTTTTTCTCCCTATTGATTGGCTTATATATTTTTAAGTATTTCAGGTTAGCCTTAAACTAAACATATTTCATTGATAATTTAAGCAATGATATTAGTGTATAGCTGAAACTCATATGTTTAAAATCTCCCTCTTTTGTGCTTTTTATGTAAAAGATGTGTTACAACGGTTTTCTTTTGTGCTTAGGTTGTCGTACTGCTCCGACAGATTTAGTTTTCATCTTAGATGGCTCTTATAGTGTTGGCCCAGAAAACTTTGAAATAGTGAAAAAGTGGCTCATCAATATCACAAGAAACTTCGACATTGGACCGAAATTTATTCAAGTTGGGGTGGTTCAATATAGTGACTACCCTGTGCTGGAGATTCCTCTTGGAAGCTATGATTCAGGAGAACATCTGATGGCAGCAGTGGAATCCATACTCTACTTAGGAGGAAACACAAAAACGGGGAAGGCTATCCAGTTTGCCCTTGATTACCTTTTTGCCAAGTCCTCACGATTTCTGACTAAGATAGCAGTGGTACTTACGGATGGCAAATCCCAAGATGAAGTCAAGGATGCAGCTGAAGCAGCAAGAGATAGTAAGATAACATTATTTGCCATTGGTGTTGGTTCAGAAACAGAAGATGCAGAACTTAGAGCTATTGCCAACAAGCCTTCGTCAACTTATGTGTTTTATGTGGAAGACTATATTGCAATATCCAAAATAAGGGAAGTGATGAAGCAGAAACTTTGTGAAGGTAAGTCTTAAAATACCTTAATATAATTTGGAAACTATTAATAATTGTGTTTTTTACATTTTGATATAATCTGTTCATTAACACTGGTGTAGATCAGTATATTTAATGTCAATTACCTGTAATGTTATAAATGTTATATTTATACTGAGAGCATGATTTTTTGTGTTATAGATATTTAGGATAAATTTTGCTTTTTAGAAATAATTTAAAAATCTATGTATGGAAAATACAATATTTTGTAACTTTATTGCTTTTTTTGTCCTTTCAATTATAATGTGTCTGTTGTAGAGATTGTAGAAAAAAGGCACAAAAAATAAAAAAATGTGTAAATCACACATAATCATATTGCCTGTTAATGAGCTTTTCTGTACTTTACCTTCTAGTTTTTCTCCTTTTTTTCCCAGTGTATTTTAAGTTTATCCTTCTGCTTATATCAAGATACTATTGTATATATAATTTCATTTTTTATTTTTGTATTATTATATACTCTTGTGTATAAAATTTTTATACTCTAGTCAGGATAGCAGACAATTTTCTGTTGTAATTTATTTTAAAATTTTTCTGTTTTTATAAGTTTAATTTCTAAGTTTTGCTAATATAAATGACAATGAATATTCTTACATGTAATTCTGAACTAGAATTTCATTATTTCTTCAGAAAAAAGCTTCAAATTACTGACATTTTTAAAGAGGAAAACCATTAAAATTGCACTAAAAATTAACTTTTCTTTCACAGAATATTTGAAAATAACAGTTTATCAATTATGTTTATATCATTTCGTAAAATCTAACTTCATGTTCATTATAACTGCATGGCATTGGAAGGTCCCAATTTTGGTAATATTCATGTAAAGTGAATATTACCTTTCTAAGTATATGGTAAACGAAATGCCTATAATATTAAAAAATAAAAGTTACAAAAATTTTCTAGTTTGCCTACAGAAACTCAAAAAGTGGGTTGCTTCACATTTGACAAAAAAATTCTATGTGTTTATTGGTTAGGAAACAAATTATATCATTAATTCCTCTGTTTTCTTCATGTTTGCTTGTGGGATATGGTAGAGAAAAACATTATTAAATGTTCATATTTAAGAAACTATAAAAAATTAAATGTCATCTTCCATGAACTTAAAATAAAAGTATTATAATAAGAGTACATATAACCACCACAGTACTTCTTTTTATGAATCTCTAGTAGTAATACTATGTTGAGTTTTATCATCCTGAGCAGGCCAATGGGACTTATATCTTTAATATGTGGTCATATTAGTTAGAATTCTTTGATTTTAAAGCCAGGTATATTTCATGCTTAAAACAGATTTTTCCTGGAGACATTTTACTTATTCATTTTTATCCTTAAATATAAATGTAACTGATAAGATGTTTGTTCAATGTTTGCTTCAGAGGCTTTTTCTGTAGATATGTATTTTGGTAAATGCATTCTGTTTTAATGATTCTGCACATGAAAGAGTAGGTGTGCTTAAAAGAGTTTAAAATTCTTTTAGCTAAACTGTCATCTATAAACACAATGAAAATTGAAATCTTGCCAAGTATATTTCCATCCACATTCAAAAAGATGTAAATAATTTCTGTGTCTAATTAGTTCTCATATCTGCTGCACAGTAGTCATCTTTTAAAATGTCGTTTTTGAAATTTCACTTCTGGAATTTATACAGGTATTCTTCACTTGACTTTTTATACTGTTTTAGAGTATGATTAATGCACTAAACTAAAACATTGCTACATCACAACAGCCACAAACCATGTGATCTGTATTTCAATCATTTGACAAATTCACATACTTTTTCTTTGACATACACTTAACTTCTACTTTGAAGTGTTTAACATGCAGGATGACTATTTCCTAATACTGTTTTTATACTCTGCTGTGGTTGACTTACAATGAACAGAATACTTAAATAATATTTATCACAGTTTATTTCATCTTTATGGACCCATTATTTTTCTGGAAGAGTTGTCTCTAATACTTTCTTTTCTCTGAGGGTGATGGTTCCTTCATCTGGGTAACAGTCTGCTTCTCCTCCTCCTGCTCCTCCCCTCCCCCCTTTTTCTCTTCGTTCTCCTCCTCCTTCTTTCTTGTTACTACTTCTTTTTCTTTTTCTCTTCTTCCTCCTTCCTTCTCCTTCCTCCTTCTTCTTCATCTTTCTAACCCCCACCACCACCATGTAAAACACATAACATGAAACCAAGTCTCCTAATAAAATTTTAAGTGTATGGTATTGTGAATTATAAGCACAGTGTTTTACAGCATAACTTTGGAAATTATTCATCTTGCTTGACTGAGATCTGCCTCCCTCCTTGCTTCCCTCCCTCCTTCCCTTCCTTTCTTCCTTTCTGTCTTTTTCCCTCTCTCCCTCCTTTCCTTCCTCTTTCTTTTTTTTTTTTTTTTTTTTTTTTTTTGGTAATGGCTATCCTATCATGTACGAGATAACATTTCATTGTAATATTGCTTTGCATTTCTCTGATGATTAGTGATGTTGGACATTTTTTCATATACCTGTTGGTCATTTGTATGTCATTTTTGAAAGGTTTTTTCAAGTCCTTTGTCCATTCCTTAATCAGTTTTTTTTGTTGTTGCTGAGTTGGAGTTTATTATTTATTTTGGATATTAACCCCTTATTAAATATATGGTTTACAAATATTTTATCCCATTTCGTAGATTGCTTCTTTACAGTGTTGTTTTTATTTCCTTTGCTGCACAGAAGCTTTTTAGTTTGCTATAATCCCAGTTCTCTGTTTTTGCTTTTTTTGTTGCCTGTGCTTTCGGAATAAATCCAAGAAATCATTACCAGATTGATGTTATGAAGCTTTTCCCTAGTTTTTGTTTTCGAAATTTTATAGTTTCAGGTCTTATGTTTAAGACTTTATTTTTTTTTTATTTTGCGTGTGTGTGTGTGTGTGTGTGTGTGTGTGCGTGTGGTGTAAAATAAGGGTCCACTGTTATTCTTTTGCATGTGGATATCCGGTTTTTTCAGCACCATTGCTTGAAGAGACTATTTTTTTCCCATCAGGCAGTCATACTACCCTTGTCAAAGATAATTTCACTGATAACATGCAAGAGTGTGTTCTAGACTCTCTATTCTGGTCCATTTGTCCATATGTTTGTTTTTATGTCATTACGATACAGTGTTCATTACTATAACTTTGAAATATATTTTGAAATCAGGAAGTGTGAAGTCTCCAGCTTAGTTTTTGTTTCCCAAGATTGTTTTGAGTGTTTGAGGTCTTTTGAGATTTCATATGAATTTTACAAATGCCGTGTCTACTGTACAGAATGTCATTGGGATTTTTATAGGGATTGCATTGAATCTGTAGATTGTGTTAGACAGTGTGGACTTTTAAAATAATGTTTTCTACCAGTTTATGAACACAAGCTATATTTCCATTTATTTCTTCTTCAATTTTTTTCATCAGTGTTGTACAGTTTTCAGTGTACAGGTGTTTTGATTCTTTGGTTAAGTTTATTTCTAAGTATTTTATTTTTTTATGCTTTGTAAATGGGATTATTTTCTTAATTTTTTAAATTGCTACTGTGTAGAAATACTACTTATTTTTGTAGGTCGAATTTGTATCTTGCAACTTTGCTTAATTGCTAGCCATTTAATTGCTAATAATTGCTAACCATTTTTTTTGGCTTGGAATCTTATGTAGAATCATTAGGGTTTTTTACATTTATAATTGTGTTATCTGTGAACAGAGATAATTTTATTTCTTTGTTATTCGAATGCCTTTATTTGTTTTACGTGTCTAATTCCTCTGGCTGGTACAGTGTTGAATAGAAGTGGTGAAATCAGACATCTTTGTCTTGTTCCTCATCTTAGAGGAAAAGCTTTTAACATTTTACCATTGAGTGTGATGTTAGCTGTGAACGTTTCAAATATGGTCTTTACTATGTTAAAGTAGTTTCCTTCTATTCCTTGCTTGTTGAGTACATTTATCACAACATAGTTCTGACTTTTGTTAATTTTTTTCTGCTTCCATTGAGATATTAATGTTATTTATTTATTTTTATTTTAACTTTTTAAAATTATTATACTTTAAGTTCTGGGATACATATGCAGAACATGCAGGATTGTTACATAGGTATACACATGCCATGGTGGCTTGCTGAACCCATCAACCTGTCATGTACATTACATATTTCTCCTAATGCTCTCTCTTTCCTAGCCCCCCACTTCCTGACAGGCCCCAGTTTGTGATGTTTCTATCCTCGTGTCCATGTGTTCTTATTCTTCAACTCCCACTTATGAGTGAGAACATGTGTTAAGTTTTCTGTTCTTGTGTTAGTTTGTTGAGAATGATGGTTTCCAGATTCATCCATGTCCCTGCATAGGACATGAACTCATCCTTTTTTGTGGCTGCATAGTATTCCGTGGTACATATGCGCCACATTTTCTTTATCCAGTCTATCATTGATGGGCATTTGGGTTGGTTCCAAGTCTTTGCTATTGTGAACAGTGCTGCAATAAACGTGTATGTGTGTCTTTATAGTAGAATAATTTATAATGCTTTTGGTAGATACCCAGTAATGGGATTGCTGAGTCAAATGGTATTTCTGGTTCTAGATCCTTGAGGAATTGCCACACTGTCTTACACAATTGAACTAATTTATCCTCCCACCAACAGTGTAAAAGCATTCCTGTTTCTCCACATCCTCTCCAGCATTTGTTGTTTGCGAACTTTTTAACGATCGCCACTCTAATCGGCTTGAGATGGTATCTCATTGTGGTTTTGATTTGCATTTCTTCTAAACCAGTGATGATGAGCTTTTTTCCATATACTTGTTGGTCACATAAATGTCTTCTTTTGAGAAACATCTGTTTATATCGTTTGCCACTTTTTGATGGGGTTGTTTTTTTTCTTGTAAATGTGTTTAAGTTCTTTGTAGGTGCCGGATATTGGACCTTTGTCAAATGAATAAATGGCAAAAATTTTCTTCTATTCTGTAGGTTGCTTGTTCACTCTGATGATAGTTTCTTT